ATTGCCTGGGTTGCGTACGTATGTGTGGGGCGGAGCTATCAAAATAGGGGCGAGACCCTTTTGGGGTAGGGGCGTGTTTGTTTTGGTTATTTCAAATGTCAACATTGGCTACCAGAAATCGCTTACCCCACCTTTAAGATTTGTACTCAAGTAGTCAAACCTGTTCATTAGAAGGTGGTGTCCCAATACTTTTGGCAATATAGTGTATATACAGTTGCATAAGGCTTTTGGGTCATTCCATGTGAACTCAACCATAGGTTTTTTTATTTTTTTATTTGGTTGGTTGATTGAGGTCGATGAGGAACACTCTCTTGAGGTGTCTGTGGTAGAGCAGCGCCGCATGCACACGCGAGCACGACTGGTGGTCTATCGTGAAGTCACAGTGCTCAGGGTTCCTCCCAAACAGATAGAACTTCTTCTCATCGATGATCAGCTTCTGCAGGTGACACCATGAGGCTCATTCACTATGACACACACAATACTGGTGGTTTTATACTGCTATAACGGGGCTGATGTTCATTAATCATTAAGTAAGGTTTAAAACTGATAGTACAGCCAATTTCAAAGATGGCTGTTAGTTCACCCAAAAATTCAATTGTGTCATAATTTATTCACTCATTACAGTCATTACAAAGCCAACTGATTGACTTTCTTCTGTAGAACACAAATAAATTAAAGCAATAAGCCCCAAGAAGCCGTGGTTTACAGTGAATTTATAACAACTAAGGGGCGTTGTTAGGTACGACGCGAAGCAGATAACCCCCTTAGCTGTTATAAATTCACTGGGGCTTATTGCTTTTATAAAACGGTTATTCCATATATGTAGTAAGGTTTCACAGAATAAAACAGAGCAAGTAAAGTGCAATGATATTAATAAAAACAGTATTCTTCCACCAAACAATGTAGTTTCTCAGAAACAGTTGTGGTTGCAACAAAGTGGTTGCCGAGCAACACACAGAAGTAAACAAAGGTGTATGTTTGTAGAGTAATTTACAACAGCTTCGAACGCGGCTCAGCCAATCAGAATCAAGCACCGGAACTCTCCGTTTTATAAAAATACACAAATACACTCACACACACACACATATCTTGAAGAATGTTGGCAAACAACAGTTTTGATGCCCATGGATTTTTTTTTTTTTCTTGCATTGAATGGACATTTTTAAAAATGTTTCTATGGTTCACAGAAAAAAAAAAAGTCCGTTTTACTGTTGTTCAACGACGTTTTCATTTTGGGTGAACGGTCCCTTTAAGAAGACATTTAACCCATTTTCCACACATTTTAAACAATGAATTATCGTGACTCTTCCAATATGTATTTCTTTTTTTTAATGATAAAGATTGCATGTACAAACGTGAATTTTTTGGTGATGGAATATTGTAGAGCTGATCACAAATGTTTAAAGATTACATTCAAATTGAAATCTTATTTATTAATACATGATTTCTTTTTATAACTATTACAGGCCTGGGAAATAACACGATTTACATTTATGTTTTCCTATTCTCGATGGAACCTTCTTTATTTTCCAACTCTTATAGTCTCAGAATATATATTTATATAAAGGGGAACAAGTCCACCAGGTCAAAGTTCACGATCATCATTATATTTCCATTGCTGCTCATTTAACACCGTCTTACCTCTATTAATTTGTCTCCTTTAACCACGTCCAGATGGAGTCCAGGTGGAGGTTTTCCTGCCCTGAGATTAAATTAAATTAACAACCAATGTGACAAAATTCATTCATTCACCCTTCAGTCTCCTAAACCTGCAGTGTAATTTCTATATACTCTATGCACAAATGCGCGTGTGCATTTATTTGAAAGATTGACTAGAGCTGCATATAGATCATAATGAATGATAATATTTAAGTGGAATAAAAGCAGATTAGTCTGCATGTTTTATGAAACCTATAACTAAAGCATCGCTTTATCACATGCCAAAATGTATATAGGGCTGTAGTATACATCAGACATCCAAGGGAATAATAATAAAGTCAGGTGATTAATGCATGCATGCAGAGTGGACTGATCTGCTGCGGTGTATTGAGTTACTGTCCGCGCCTCATACAGGACTGAGTTGCACGGTTTTTATTCATGAAAGTCATAATCCACGCATCCGCTCCACACACGCGCATGCAGGGCTTTTGCTTTCATTGCAATAAGGATTCGCCGCCATTTTGCACAGTCGCGCGGAATACTGGGTAAACACTACCAGATCTCGCTGAGGATTGTGGGACTTGTAGTTCGCTCGTTTGACACCTACTGCAGCTTATGGACTTGGTTACTGATTCAAATTTTTTTATTTTGTTCTGCTTATTTCGTTTTAAAAATAATGTCCTATACCAAGATGATAATTGTATAAATGCAGTGACAGTATTATGGTATTATCTGTAAGAAAAAGGTTTTAGTAAAGATACTTTTGACACTGTCTCAACCCTAAACAACCTGTTAACTTACCTCTATATCCGCAGGGTTTTCTGCAACCATGATGCGCGCGCATCCTGAATGTTTACAAATCGGTAATTGGTCTATAGGCATCCTAACAAGGTTCTTTGGGGTCCCTTTACAAGACCGCAAGTCCTACTTTCACACCACTCAACATAATGTACACCTCCAAAAAAAAATTACACTTACACTACAAAAGCAATTATTATTAAATTTACAATTAACATAGCACAAAACAGAACATTTCCAAAAGTCTATTAAGGTCAAAGGTCCTGTTTTGTTTTTTAACCGTTAGTTCTCCTTTAATTACTCAAGTAGTTACTCAGAGAAACCTGTATTGCATTATTCGTATTGAAAAGGCAATTGAAAACCAATAAGCCACATAACATTTGATTTCCCCCCTAAAGAACTGCATTCAGATTGTGCTGAACACATTTCGAAGCACTAAAGAAATAGTTCACCCAAAAATGAACATTCTGTCACTAGAGCCTAATATCTTAAAATATCTTCTTGTGAGTTTATAGGTTCGGAACAACATGACGATTTTTTCATTTTTGGGTGAACTATCCCTTTAAGATGCTTAATGTATCTATATAATAGATGTTAAATATATTTTATAGCAAACGATACGGGGAAAACTGTTGGCACTTTGCACCAAAATGGAATTGCTATTATGCATATTTTTTTAATTGATAGTGGCATCAATTACAGAAGTTAGAATTTGTTTAGAGATGTTTATAATAACAATGGTAATTACGTTTAAATACTCTAGTGGTAAAAATATTCAGTAATGCACAACACAGTGCCTTTACCGTATTTATGGCTCTGTAAACGGACTATAATTTCTGTTCTCAATGGCAAAAAGCTAACGGCCGACCTTCCACTTTAGAAACACTTGGCAGACGGCGAATTAAAACACAATCTTGCTCTGCATTTCTCAATAAATCAATACTTCAATGATTCAAGTACAGGTTTTATTAAAGCCAACCCCGACAATAAATTACACATTCACTTAGAAGATCCCCTCTCATGAAATTCTGTTCATCTCAAAATACTTGACAAGAACACAAAGTGTCTGTGGAAAAAAAGAAAGAAAGAAATGGAAGTGAAATAAAAGCACATCACCGCCAAGTTCCCAGTAGTTGATGGTAAACCAGGTCAGGCTATCGGAGGGGGATCTGTGAGCACGGCACGGAGGGAAACGTTTCGTAGTGCTTCTTCGAAACCAGATTCTCTTTGTTACAAAATTCAAATACAGTTGTGCTCCCAGTTTTAACACACAAAAGACGTTCATCTTCATATCAGTATATCAGATCATGGCATGAGTAGACACACTGAAACAACACAGGAACACACAGAAGCACGCTACTTACAATATCAGCCCAGCACACGACACAAACCCAGGAATCACCCCAACCATCAGAAGACGTTCATGTACAGTATGTACAGAAGAGCAAATGCGCTCGCGTTTTGAGTCATCTTTTATTAGTCAGGAAGGGAAAACTCAAGTCAAGTTCACTTGGTACATCTATAAAACACATTTGAGTTGTTCGTTTTTAAGTCCGTTCACATTGCAAGCTAAAGCTCCCAAATGCAATTTTCTGCCCAACTCAGGTTGTAGTCATAACTTTTTAATAAAATCTGGTTCATACCAGATACTACCTTCACTGTTTTCTTGTGGCGTCATATTAAATTTCATGAAATTACACAACCGTTTAAAAGTGTGGGGTCAGTACATTTTTTTTTTTCAGCAAGGATGCATTAAATTGAACAAAAGTGACACTAAAGACTTAAATTAATACACATAAAATAACAGCGCATTATAAGCAGCACAGATGTTTCTTAAAGGGGTCATATGATGCGATTTCAATTTTTCCTTTCTCTTTGGAGTGTTACAAGCTCTTGGTGCATAAAGAAGATCTGTAAAGTTGCAAAGACTAAAGTCTCAAAACCAAAGAGATATTCTTTATAAAAGTTAAAGAGTTAACCACGCCTACCTAAAACGGCTCGTTCTAACACACCCCCACATACCTACGTCACGATCTCGGAAGATTTGCATAACGCCGCCCAAACGTTCACGCAAAGAAAGAAGCCGTAACTTTTATTCTCGCTGTAGTATTGTAGTTGTTGCCGCCGCTGCCATGTCGTGAAGGCGCTGTGTGTTTCCTTG